ACCCTTCAGCGACTTGGCCAAACTAAGACACTATACGAAATTCATTAAGAATTCAAATTGTATCTTTTGCGTTAATTGGCTCGCTTGTTTGTTGTTGCCGTTACCCCCAGCATGACTGAGAAAATATATATATCTGCATATATTTATAAGCATCTTTGCCTCAGGTGTAGTAGTTGCTGCTGCTGGAACGTTACCTTTTTTCTTGTCAATATTTTCATTGGAAAAGCAAACAAACATGCTTAAAATAACAAATTAGCATAGACGAACGACACTAAAACAACAAGAGTACGAGACAGAGGGAGAGAGAGGGGAGTGTGTGTGAGAGAGAAAGGAGAGAGAGACTGGCCCTTGGGCGTTTATATTTTATTTTTTGTTAGTAGGGTAGCAGACAGTTAACAGCTGGCCTGGTTTGACAATTTAGCAATTTGCTTAACGCACTCGAGTCGACTCGACTCGCCACAGTGTTACATGCTACATCAATCAACGATGCGACTCATCGACTCCCCAAACAAGTCGACTCCAACGACCAAGACTCACTCGAGTGGCCAACAAAATGGCGCATTGCTGTTAATGATGCCGACTTTGAAATTTTGCCGACTGCAAAATACAAATAAATGAACCAAGTGTCGCCTCCTTTTCGTTTTTTCGAAGCCAACTTTTCGTCATCATCATCATCACCGTCGTCGTCGTCGTCGTCATCGGCCACATTCGTCATTTGGCAAACAAATAAAAGCGAGGCTATGCAACGGGTCGAGGACAGGCGCGACAGACGTGCTGACAGATGCTCAGATACTTTATATTTTGCACTTCTCGCGAACGTGAATGATGTGCGAACAAGTTGTAATTATTTGAAGAGCTTTAATCTGCGATGGTCGAGCCTAAATAGAAGCCCACAAAAAAATAAAGTAAAAAAAAAAATAACCTGCCAAGCAGTTTGTCAACATTGAAAGAACATCATGAGCCAGTCTTCAAATTGACATTTTGTTGACTGACTAATGTTGCCTTGCAGAGATTTCTGACTCTGACTCTTTCAATGCGCGGAGGCTGCTGACAGCCTGTGAAATATTGATGTGAATATGTTGAATAATGGCAGCTGGATACCAAGAGTTGGGCTAGCAAGAGATTCGGTTAATGGAGGACAGCACATGAGAGCATGTTTGTAAATATATTAAATATCTATTACAATATTAATTTTTATTAATTACTCAATTAAATTTATACCAAACTCTGAAACAACTTTAATTACTTTACATATTCATACGAATTTTTAAACTACTTTAAACTCATTTTTCAATAAATTCAGACAGAAATTCCCTTATAAATAAGAAAGCTTGTTTCACCAATATATAAATTAATGAATCCCAAACTTAAAAGGAAACATTTGAAAAAGAAATATAATAATATTAAAAATATAAATATAAATAAAATAAATTTATATTTCGATAGAATTATTTGTATAATTTAAAAAAAATTAAATATATAAACTTCTAAAATTATATTGCTTTAGAATTATTTATATAATTTTTCAATTTTTTTAAAATAACATTAAAAAACAATTAGTTTTCAATTGTGTTCGTATACACTTATATACAATATATAGATTTTAATACAATTTTAAAACATGTTTTCCTCCCAGAAAATGTTCACTGAAAAAAAATCAAACAAAGCCTCAATTTATTTGCAATTGTATCGTAATTAAAGGTATATAATACTGTATAGGAATTATACTACATGCCAACCCATCCCAAATAAGAACCAGTCGAAGCGCACTTATAAATGCTGTAAGTCCCGTTGACTGACCATTAAAGCTACCCTCAACCCAGAAACTAAGCCATTCAAGAGTCACATTACACCTAAAAATATATAAAAAAGGATGAAAAATGGGAAAATCAAGAATAATTGCTCTATGATTGTCCACTGAAGTGCTGAGCTCTCAGGAGCTGAGGAACTTACAACTTGTTTTTTTCTGCTGGCTAACCTTATTATTCAATTTCCTTGTAGTCTTAAAGTAATTTTGTGAACCAGGTCCCGGGCAACGAGTTCAGCCCAAGGGGCTGGCTGGCTGTCCAGCCAA